AGCCTTGACTTGTGGTGAGTTTGCGTGGGAAACAAGTGCACGCAGACGCAGACTATCTAGAACCTTCAACAGCAGTAGGTGCATGCTCGTTACTTCTTATTAATATCTGGAAGCTGTACTTGACATTTATCTTTGATTGCCAAGTCAAGCGCAGAAGGCCCCCGACAGAACCGTTACCCCCAGGGTGACTATGCATAAGTTAGCAAACGGTTTTCTGCTTATGATGTTCACCGTGACTGTTTGCACCTTCCCTAGTTCTACACCCCGGCAACGGCTCGCAGAGAAGTTTGTTGGTTGTATTTTCCAGCCCATGCGCGTTTCCAGCCCAAGCTGTGGCAAAGCCAGAGCTGTCCAATGCAATTTTCAGCCGGAAGAGCTCGATGGAAGAAGGAGATAGTCCTCGAGGTGAGAGGATTACCCAGCACAGTGACGGAGCAACAGCAAGTTCAGCAGATGAGTGCAGTATCAATCCATCTCAAGCAGGTTCTTTGAAGGCCTCTGGAAAGAAGAAGAACAAAAAAAGCACCAAACTGATGAAGAAAGGGAAACTCAAAAAGAGGGACACCAACGAGGTGTCTTCGCTGCAGCAAGTAGTTGTCCAACAGGATATGTTCGAGCAAGAAACGCCTCCCGAGCAGAGTCTGGCAAAGGATCTCCAACGCCGAAATGCAGCGGATGAAGATGTGGGCACTATGCCACGTGAGTCTGCCTCTACTCGGCTCAGTTATGGATTCGATGCAGGTGACCACGACGATGCTCCGCTCCCATGTCCAAATTGTGGACACCATCGCACATCCTATGTACCACACAGAGGGGGCTTGAAGAGGACAAAAGGCACCAGAGAGCGCAGAGTTGGGATTTCCAACGGTCGTGTGGATGTCAAAGAATATCAGGAAGACGAGGACATAGAACCCGGGGCCCGGGTCGTCAAGCGGAGATCCAGCGCTATGGCCGTTTTGCAATCATTAACCAACACCAGTGAAGGAGGATTCAGCTGCTGCGCCCATGTCCTGCTTGCCTTGATTGGCGGCGGCCGTCAGACCCGAACATCTTGCCAACAAGCTGCCGAGGCTTTCCAAGCTGGAGATGGCTGCAGTTGCTTTCTTTACCTGACCATCATTGTATTTGGACACTTGTTCATTTTTCTCCTGCCTCCTGCCTTTATTTTTTGTGGACTGACATATGTGCATCAGAAAGGGCCACGTGTGGAAGACATTGAAGAGTTGGTGAAGGTTTCGAGCAAACAACCCTACTGGATGATTCTGATGACAAGTATTCTTGGAGCAGCGTCAACAGCGTTGATCATGGGGCCGCCTGCATTCAAAGCAGGCAGTACGGGAGCTTGGCAGACCATGGGTAGAATTGCCAAGATTGTATTCACCCTCTATCTCCTCTTCAGGACTGTTTACACATGGGGTGAGGAATTGGCAGTTCTGAGAACGATTTTTGACCGGGAGTTTTCAAGGCATCTTGGCTTGTCCACGGTGGTTCGCACATTGATGCTCTCCATGGTGCAATCTGCTACCAGCTCCCAATGGAGCAGGTACGCTGATCAGCTTGTTTTGATGCTGGTGTACAACGACTACCTCAATTTCAGGAAGGCTCATGAAGATGGATTTGTGAAGAACTGGCGCCAATACATGGACACTGTTGAGAAAGCTGAGGAGGGCAATGAGTTAACCATGGTAGCCTTCAAATCCAGACCGTACAGCAAGGAGAAAGGTGGAAAAGGAGGCTTTGCACCTTCGATGCTAGACCCCAGGCGGTTGATCTTTTTGATACAAGAGATGACAAAGAGTAACGGACTAAAATCCAATGCTCCGTGGGAGGATGGGAAAGGGCAGACTGCCTACGGCCGTTGGCGTACAAGAATCTGGGCATGCTTTCATTGGTTAGGCAGGGTGGAGGCCATCGCTAGTAGGTCGGAGGCCATCGCCAGTAGGTTGGAGGCCATCACTAGTAGGTTGGAGTGCTTTCTTTGGTTAGGCAAGCTGATCTTCACGATGTACATTGCGGTGCTGCTGGTGCGTTGCTGGACCTTTGGATGGGGTGTTGCCCTTGTGTACTTCCCTCTCTTCACAATTCTTTACCCATGGGTGATTCTCATTGTGCTGATGTTTATGATTCTCATGCGATTAATTTTGGTGGAGTCTCTGATGTGGATTCTGATCAAGCTGGGCAACCAAGGCACGGAAAACAAGCATAAGGTTTTGCGTAATTTGTATATTGCTGTGGGCATGAATCGTATATCGCAAAATTGAGGTCCAGCCCTCCACGAGGTTGTTTTCAATCTTGCTTTCCCACTTGCATTTGCGTGCCATTGCATGTCATTTTCCAGTGAAGCTTTTGTCGACTTTTTGCTGTATTGAAATTGCTCCTGCGGAAGGCTGCTGCGACAGATTGCTAGCTCTTTTGCGACTGCTGTGTTGCCGTGGTGACAGGGAGGTGGAAGACTTGGATTCAGAGCTTCATTTTGAGACGCCAGATGGCAATCCAGACACAATTAAGTTATACCCCCGGCCCGGGCATCATGTTAGTGTCGATGATGACCGCAAGCATTTGCGCACCATTGCAAATGCAATGGCTTCAACAGGCTTTTTGCCTGGGAACTTTGATCGAGCATTATGGCCTCAGCTTCAGTGTTGTGGGAAGCCCATGCCAAGACTTCCAGGTCTCTTGTACACAAACATCTCCTCAGAGAAAGGCTCGCAAGAAGAGCTGAGAAGAAACTACGAACATGAAGTGGCGGTTCTTCAAGCTACTGGCATCACTCGAGACGGATGGTGTTACGTGATCATCTATGCAGCCATTGGCAAAGTGATGGTGGACTTCATGGTTGTGGTTCTGACACGCTTCATGGCGCCTGGGCTGCACGGCCATAAAGCTCAAGGCGATGAAAAGCAGTCGCACACTTCCAAGAAAGTATTTGTCAGAGGTTGATAGCGGCTTTGATTCGTTGCCACCGTTAAATCCGAGGCTGGAGTTGGCTATATGGACTGCGTTGTGCTGACTCTGACAGATCGCAGCTGGCAGAGGTGGATGGAGCAGTTCGACTACATGGACACAATCAACAGGATTAATCGATGGGCAACATGTCTGGAAAAGACAAATTCATTGGCTATTTGCTGACTTTGCGTGGGTTTGACAGAAGTTGGTCAATTCGCCCTTGTGGCTGTGAAATCTAAGGTTAATGCGATTTGGTGACTTCTTGTGTGCCGCGTTTGCCGAACTTTTCTGAGACACCTCGGCCAAGCCCTGGTGCAACAACTATTTGATCTCCTGATGCTTGACATCAAGTCGCGAAATGGCCTTTGTTTGTTCAAAGACGTTTCATTACCAAC